GTCATTCAAATTCAAATTCCGAAAACTCGGAAGAATTCAAATATACAAGTTGTGGTACTGTAGCAGTCTACGTCTGTGACTGTCCTTGGGCACGTTGAGCGTCTTTGTGATCCGTTGTTCGTGTTGTCGTTAAGGAGTCCCACAGACCATGGGAAACGCTATGACACAAGAAGAGCAAGCGATCAACCGCCGTGGATTACAGCAGTAGGAGTAGGACCCGCAACAAAGACTCTAGCCTAAAAGCACATGTTACGGTTCGTGGCAATAGTTTCGCCGCACGAGCATTCCCACGGTGAGGCTAGTGCAGTCTGCGGCACCCCACTGCCAGGAGGTTGATACTCGCCTTCTCGCTCCTACTCCCAAGTACGCCCTGACTTGGGCTAAACCACAGAAGTAAGACCATCAAAAGAACCACCAAGGAGGCCTTTGCTCCGACACTTCACCAGCTGCAGCAGCTGGTACAAACATCTTTACTGCTCTACTCGGTCGTATCGTGCATTCGCTTGAGGACAGGCTGTAGTTGTCTATAATTCCCTCACCTTTTGACCCCTATCGGCGGCTTCCGAGGTGAGAGCTACGGACATGAATGATCGACCATGGACATGGGCAACCATTGCACCTTCAATATACCAATACCGTAGTCGCACAATCTGTCTCACACACACTCGCGCACAAGCGAACAGTCACGGCGGGAGAAAACAAAATAGTCTACCCCGAACATGATGCAAATTCGAGGGGTAGTAGACTATGCGGGTTGCACGCAAACCGGCACTGCCGAACGTCATGGACGTTGAGATGCAACCATGCGACCGAGATGACATTTGCCATGTCCTCTTGCGTCGCCCCCGGGAGGCAAATCACCTAACTCCCGCAGGGAAACCTTGGAGACTATATTTTCTTCACTTCAAAACAGCGCTCACAGCTTTTGTGCCGTTTACTTCAATCGGTGTCACACAGAAGGGTTCCTCCCTCAGCCCCCCTACCCACCCCTCCTGCGATACTTTGCCTGAAGTGCAGCACTCCCTTCCCTCTGTGTACACATGCCATGGTTGTTGAATATGGGTGTCGACCTCGCCTGCACCTGGCTTTACCTGCGTATACCACACTCCTTCTTTTTTCATTCCATCTGTTGCGGTCGCTCGCAACTTGTCACCTGCGCTGCGGCCTTGCCTCCTGTCAACTCAAAGAGCTCCGATCCGCGGTCACACAAAGGTGGCTCTGCGGCAAGCAAGTTGCAGTATATGTTCCTCTACATCAGAGGTCACAGGACAAGCGATGACTTGTTGTGTTGTTGTCTTCACATCAAAAACCGTTCCGATCTCTCTCTACCCAGTACCTTCGGATGTCCGTACTGATCCAACACTCGACGCGGTCGATTCCCGTGGTCGCAGGCTAACTTACCCTAACAAGGTACACTCAAATCAACTGGCCCCGAGGGGTCCGCAAGTCAATAGAAATCAACGACAGTTTTTCTGGAGTCCTCCACTCCCTCTGCGCGCTATGCGAGGTATAACAACTGAGACTAACAGTCACCATCACGGGCCGGAGAGAAAGAGGTACACCGCCTTGTTCAATCTTGGTACTTCACAACGCAAGCAGAGACNTTTTTCTGGAGTCCTCCACTCCCTCTGCGCGCTATGCGAGGTATAACAACTGAGACTAACAGTCACCATCACGGGCCGGAGAGAAAGAGGTACACCGCCTTGTTCAATCTTGGTACTTCACAACGCAAGCAGAGACAAGGCCATTTGGGACAGAAAAAGCGAGAAAAAAAAAAGAAAAAGAGAAGAAAATAAAAGGAAACAGTACGGAAAGAGAAAACGAAATAAAAAGAGCGAGGACAAAAAGGGACCAAGCCGAAAATAACAAGAAATAAGAGACAGAACAAGGCACACGATGGAGAGACCACTAACGAACAAGCAAACACGCAAACATGGCCACCAACCAGCGATACATTGTAATGGTACGTCATCACTAGTGGTGGGTTGGTGCAATGGTGCAGCGTTGGGGAGGGGAAAATGGCGAAAACAAATTCAATCCGGCACGTATCGCGCCACTCGGTCCGTCTCTTTTCGTTTGCTTGCTTCCCTCGCCGTCTCGTCCATCTCCTGCCCCCCTCCCGCCCCATTGGATGTTGGCTTGTGGTTTCGTTTGAGCGCCCGTTGTCGGCTGACCTCTTCTTCCTTCTCGTGCCAGGAGGTCATGAACGTCTCAGCTCCCTGCAGCACCGCCGCATGCCAGGGTACTACCCCCTCCACCTGCGCGGCTTTCGTCCACTTTAACTTCGGTGCCGTGTCTTTCGGTACCGGGATTCCGAAACAACATGGATCGGTTTTCGTAGATCCGTGGTCGGCCCCGAATGCCTTCAGGTCGTCGAGCACACACTTCGGCCAGTTCTGTTCCTGTCCCTCCCTAAGTTGCTTCTCCCCCCCCGCCAGTTCGCCGAGCATCAATCGTTTCGGGAGTCACCCGTCCGGCTGCCTTGCCAATGCTCCCGCGAACAGTAGGCGTCGTTGTCGGATCGTCGCTTTAACGCTCTGGCATTCGACCCTCTTCAGCGTCTGGGTGTAAGAGAGCTGCCGGTAGGTGTCTTTCTTGCGCTTGTACCCGATAACTCGAAGGAGCAGTCGGTGGTGTATCGACCGCAGCGTCTGATAGTGGCCGCTGAGTGGTGACCATGTCATGCAGCCGCACAGCAGTGCCTCCATCGCCTCCGCCTGCAGCAGGCGGATCTCCAGTCGGAATGGCGCTTTCGGTCTGTCGAAGAGCTCCCGGCCATATCACCTGAGGCACGCCCACGCTCCTCTGCTCCTGTAGTTGATCTCCCGGGTGAGGTCGCCA